TGATGATATTAGAGTGACCACAGTAAATCCGTGAAACACTAATTACTAAATAGTACAATATAGTGCTAGTTAAACAATAGAAAACAATGGAATTTACATGAAATTGTGCTATTTAGTATTACTAAAGTTTCACGGATTTACTGTGGTCACTCTAGCATTATGTTTATCAAAATTATTGCTGGGCATCGACGTAAGGGAATTTGTTTGTCCCAGAAACATGACATCATGTCCCATGCGCAGTATTTTGCGTTGTAGATAAAGTATTTGAACTTGCTTTTTGAGGGGTTGGAGCATGTGAAAATCTCTTGCTAATGCACGCGGTATCACAGGGAATTACTGACAATTACAAGTTCTTTTCTGTCATGCTCATGTTGAATATAATGATAGGACGTGGTGCTGGGGTAAGCATCGCTTGATAAAATAGGTGATACGGTATAAGGGCAAAATCTACGTGACGTTAATGCTTCGGAGAGAGAAGTGACCGAAGAGAGACTGGGAAAAATTCTCTGGGGTCCGTAAATATATTCATGCTGGGCATGAACCGGAAGTCRGATCAAATTTCATGCTTGACAACTGGGCATGTAAATTCAAACTTCATGCCGGGCATCATGAGAACCGTATGTTACATAACTCAGTGGGTTAATACGTCACCCTCTTTAAATAAAGTTTATTGATTGATTGATTAACCGGAAGTCAGTTCAAATTTTATGCTGGGCATGAACCGGAAGTCAGATCAAATTTCATGCTTGACAACTGATTAAAGGGACAGGGTAACCTTACCACCAGGGCCCAGTTGTTCAAAGCCCGATTAGTGCTAATCCTGGGTTAACTCTTAATAAGACCTATAGAGTTAATCCTGGATTAGCGCTAATCCAGCTTTGAACAACCCGGCCCCGGGTAACCCTGATGCGCTGGAAAATCGTGGAAATGAATGAGAGAAAACACATAGAAGCTAGGGTAGCCCTATTACTAAGGTGACCCTAGTGATAGGGCTACCCTTCTCGTAAAGAGGCCCTTTATAAAACGTTTGTAAGCGTGCACAAGTTATTGCGTTAGTAAAAAAATCATTAATTCCGTCGTTTTTCTTATCCCCCGGTTTGATTGAATAAGAAGAGTGTCGCGGAGTTTTCTGCACTGTTATCGAAGACTCTTAAAATTCCAGTGTATGCGGGCTTAGCCTCGAATCCACGAGTTGCTTGTCTTGTTTTGTTTGTTTTTTTGCTTTTGTTTACCGACCTCACAAGTGAGGCTAAGCCCCCACACACGGTAGTTTTAAGAGTCGTCAATGGCAAAGCTACATGATTTCTATAAATTCTGTTTTATTTTCAGAATGCTATGCGCGACAACTTGGACCTATTTGAAGAAATAGTTCACTGTGAATACTTAGCCAATACTCAATTCATCCTGTTTCTAAATAAGCAAGACTTGTTCAAGGACAAATTAGACACATCGAATTTGTCAGAGTGTTTTCCAGACTACGACGGTAAGTATGTAGCTATTTAGAAAAAAGTTGGTGAACTTCTTATTGCATGCTGCAAAAATCTCAAAATCTCTTGAGATATGGAATCGCCATGTTGGTTGCTCTAACAATAGAATGCTTTGTTATCGTCAAACAAGATGGTGATTATGACGTTACCTGCTCATGAAGTAACGTATTTTCTTCTGTGCTGACATTATTTACCTATTAATGCTCTTCGTTGCTCGGTGTCAACTTCATTTCCTCTCTCCAGAAGAATGTTTCTCAGCTAAATCGCTCGTTTCAGCGTCTTAACCTGACCACCATTTTGAGCAGTGATTCTAAAATTTTATAAGCTGATTGAAATTTAGCAATTATTAAGGTTGACTCTTCACATTCTCCCTCTCAGTCTTCGTTTTCATGCCTTGGGTGATAGGGAGACTGCGGAAGGGCCTAGCAATTGCATTGATTGGTACTTGCTTTAAAGCCCCTCCTAGTTATGTGTTTTACAACATACCTTTACAGGTACATTTTGCCATAGTTCATTTTCTAAAGATTGCGAACTCATCCAAATCTTTAAATGTTTTATCAAAAATACGTAGTAGCTCAGTTTACAACGATATATTAGAATCTGGCGTTTGATATTTTGTGGCCCATCAAAATTGGATAGACATGCGACCTTAAGAAAAAAAGGTCGATTCTACTTTGCAGTCCAACGTTCAAAAAATGCTTTCCTTTTCCTGATCCTTCTCTGGTGTTATGTCATTTCCCGCGTGCTTCATAACTGCACACAGCAAGTGCGCGCGTTTTCTATTTCTTTGTTAAAGTTTCTAAAAAAGGAAGGTCAAATATCTCCAATATCTTTAAAAACATTCACAAACGTGTAGTGTTTTACTTCCACATAGACTTGGGGCACATTTTTTATTGATGTGTAACTCATCTATTCATTTCAGGCGGACCTGACTATGAGAAAGCATTGTCTTACGTTAAGGAGCAATTTATGATGCTGATCCCAAAGGATAAGCACATTTATGTACACGTGACTTGTGCAACTGACACCGACCCGATGAAGACTGTTTTACAAAATGTATTTGAAATACTAGTGGAAATTAATCTGAAGAAAATAGCTGTACTTTAGAATGACGTGGCCTCGAAATGTTTTAAAATAACGCTAATAAAGATTTATACAAATCCAATATTTACTGTTTTCCCTTAATTCTTTTTAAAACTCCCGAGTTTGATTGTAAAACATACATACTTAAAAGCCCTGTTACATGAGGCAATCTTTATTGCCAATGCAATGCTGATGAAAGCAGAGCGTTGCAAATTGCAATTGCGATGTCAGACGCGTTCAACTATCTTCGGAACTTGCAGCAAATTCTTGGTCTCAATAGAGAAGAGCTGCGCTCTGATTGATTTTTGCGTCAATGGTTGCATCGCAGGTTACTTGTAAGATAGTACGCGCTACAACTTGATTCACAACGAAGAAGCTAGTTCAACTTTTACTGCAACTGGCCTACACGGTCCCTTGTCCCCATGGTACATTCCCGAGTCCCACGGGGAATCCTGAGACATTCGTTAGCAGTCCATTGTCCCTGGCTTACCCTCAACACTACCAGTGTCTCTCCCTACCCCGAGTCCCCTGGGATCCCCTGAGACATCGCTTAGCAGTTCACTGTCCTTGACTTACCTTCGAGACTGCTAGTATCTCTTCCATCCCCGACTCCCCAGGTCTCCCTTGTTTTGCACTGCGAATGGTTCTTCGTGTAGTAACAAAATCGTGAAACTTATACAGTTTAGCGATTTACCTTTTATATAATAAGTAAAATTATATCCAAAGCTAAATTTTACTGGCTTCCCATTTCTTTAGTAAAAAAAAACCAGCGATTTTCGCAAAATTTGACCCAATCTTCTCTCGGAAAAGTACATTCCTCGAACGGGTTCGATTCCAGGAGGCACGGCTACGGACATTTGCAAATTGTACAATAGTACTTGAACATGATTAGATTCTTATCTTACTTAGTGTAAAGTCATGCAGTACGAAAACGAGAATGGTAACCCCTTTTTATTGCATTTTTCAAACATCCATGGGGCCACGAAAAGCTATACAAAGTTTTGGGGAAATGACAATTCTTCCATTCCAAAGGCCCTGTTTCAGCTCCATTTTTCTTGCATCGTGCAATGCAACAACGCTGACGAAAGCATAGCACTTCTGGCTTACCTTGACTACTAGAGTCTCCTGAGAATGCCCTGACCTGAACAATCCCTAGTGGCCTCGTCTTTGGCTTACCCTCTAGACTACCAGTGCAGCTCCCATGCTCCCACCCCAAGTCCCTGGGGAGGCCCTTAGACGTCTCTTCGCGGTCCCCTGTCCCCGGATTACCTTCTAAACTACTGCTGTCTGTCCCATCCCTTAGTCTTCTGGGGATCTCCTGAAACATCCCTTAACTGTCCCCTGTCACTGGCGTATCCTGAAGACATATTGTTTCTCTCCTTAGCTTACACTCGAGACTACTAGTATCTCTCTCATCCTTCGAGTCCCTATGGGACACCTAAGGAATATCTCAGTGTATCCCCAGGGGACTGCCAGGAGCTGTTCAGGAAACAGGGGACAGCTAAGGGATGTCTCAAGAGACTGGGGGAGAGACACATTAGTAGTCTTGAGGACAAGCATGTGGCATGGGACAGTTAAGGGCCTAAATGCCTAAGTTGTACCCACATCATTACTAATCCTCATCGCATAAGCGAACCCCACCTCATAAGTGATCCCTATCCTGTAACTCATCCCACTGCACAGGTTTCCCCCCACTGCATAAGTTATCCGCACCTCGTAAGTTATCCCAACCATATAACTGGTCCCAACAGCACAAGTGCTCTCCACCGCTTAACTTAGCCCCATTGCATAAGTGATCCCCACCGTGTAAATGATCCCCACCGCATAAGTGATCCCCACCATGTAAATGATCTCCACCCATTAGAGAACCGATAGAGCACAGGGCCGGGTTGTTCAAAGCTGGATTAGCGCTAATCCAGGATTACCTCTATAGGTCTTATTAAGAGTTAACCAAGGATTAGCACTAATCGGGCTTTGAACAACTGGGTCCTGAAGTAAAGTTTTTTTCATCGGATAATGGTAACAAAATTATAGTTTTTTGGTAATAATTTCCAGGTTTTAAGTATTCCGTGTATTTATTCCAGATTCCGGATCCCCAATTTCGAATTCGAACTTATGGTCTAACCCAAGCAATAGTCCATTTCACGGTTCCCTGCGCCATCTTGAAAGGTAGCCGAGTCTTTGCATCGAAGCAAGACGAACGGTGAGCATACAATGGCTTCTGTCTTCGGTGCTTCTGAGGTTGTGGTCGATATCCCGCTGTGGACCTTGTCATCAGGATCACATGTATCACTGTCTCCAGCATCATCATCATAATCGCCATCTCCTTCTTCATCATTTTTCATCACTATCAGCTTCATCATCTCCTTCACCAGCAAGATATCTATAATCATAATATTTAACAATTACTCGCGTCTCGGTAAATATTCCCCGATATTCACTGAGGCTGAGGCAAATAATTGTTTTAGTATAAATACACAGGTGATTCTTTAAAAAACAAAAGAAGATAAAAGACATTTTTTCCCGTAACAGCAACAAAGCGGCTGACCGCCATTTTGGATTATCGCTGGAGGTGACTATCGCGTGATAGTGTGATTTTCCTGACCAATAAGCGCGCGAGATTTTCAATAATCACCAGTGTATTTTTACTAAACTGTGTTATTGTTGATCATGATGGCCAAAGAAATCCAAACCAAATAATAGAAGGGATTTAAATCATCAGTCGAATGCAAACCTGTTGATTGTCAGAGGTAGTGATTCCATTCTGACTACACAGAGAACAATTGATATTTTTTGGAATTGCATTCAAATGATCAGCTTGTCTATCATCATGCTCTTTAAAGCAACATTTGTGAAAAGTATGGCCACAATTTAATCTCTTCACGTTTGGTTTTGAATCATAGTCAGTATCACATTGCGGGAGGTCGCAAAACACTGCAGGGTCTGGTTAAAGAATTTCATTAAATGCAAATGCCAGTTGCAAGCGTCTTTGGTCCACTGTAGCATCAAGAGCTGGTAAGTAAAATGGCTGCAAAAAAAGCAATTTAAAAAATATCATTAATACTTTTGAATTATTGTTCACCATGCTTATACTTTTATTACCTGGTACTTGCGACGACCTTTAGGAATTTTCACTGTCTGCTTGGAATCGTCTTGCGCTTAATACATGTGCTTGTTGTTGGATGTAATCAGGATTGGCCCACATTGGTAAAGCTCTGTTGAAAAGTAAACCTATTTAGATATATGTTTAATATTTTCTCACTTAGGATGTTATTACCTTCGCAGCTTTGAATGAAATACTTCAACTTTTTTCTCTGTCAAGATGTTGAGATAATTGGAGGTTATTTGCTGGAAGTGCGGCTTGCTCCTCAGATGATGAAGTATGTCTGATAAGTCGCAGATGTTAGCTTTATCATATTTAGAACTGCAATAAAACACCATGGGCACAACATCATCAAGCAAGTGCAAAAGAAAAAGATATTGTGGGTCTTTGGAGTAGAGAGCAAACTGGTTTTTAAACATGTCTTGAACAATGGACCAGCCTCCAAATGCAGTTTATATGACAAGTGCAATCTTTTCTGATTTGGGACGCTGTGTTAACACCTTGTTGTTTTCAAATAGGACTTTGTACAACTTTCCAAAAACTGGCCTGAACAGGATGACAGATGTTTCTTGGATATTTAAAGAAACATGAAAAGGGCCTTGCCATGGTATTATTGATGGTATACACTGAGGTATTGTTGTTGGGTACTTATACTTACTTTTGTTTGTATGTAGTATGGTGGGCTTATTTACATATGTGCCACACAGCTCTCATGCCGTCCAATGGCAAGTTTATATAAAATGTTTTTGTTTCGTTATGCTACCCTTTCACACACAAATACAATATTTGTATAATATAAATATGCAGATATTATTGATTAACATGCTGCAGTAAATGGGCCATTCCATTTTAAAAACGCATCCCCCCCTATTGAGGGGTCAGGATATCCTAAAGGGTTAGGGGTGCACCGACTAATATATCCTAGGGCCTAAACCTAAGTAAGACAAAAAAATTCCAAGGGGAGAGAGGGGGAAAGACAAAAATACTTTAGATATATTAAGGTATGAGGCATAACCCCTCAATAGGTTTAAAAGGTATTATAATATTAAAATCAAATTTAAATATTCCAAGGGGTAACGAAGTTTTTCCGTCAATAGGGGAGGGGAGGTGCGTTTATAAAATGGAATGCCCCAATATAAAATTGTGGATTGTTGTGAGTAGTTTTGAACACTTATTGATACACGTGATTAATGTCATAAATGTTCGAAAGCAGCACAAAGTGCTGAAGAAAATTCTGTTTCAAGCGGGTGCTGGCATGAGTAGCTTGTCATTTTGTGTATCAGTTCTCTTATTGATCATTGCTAGCAGCCAATCAAATGACAAGGTATTCTAAGATTCTCTCTTAACTTGGTTATGCTTCATTTTAAATTGATTGCTCACCTCACCAACTATCTTCTTATATTTCTTTGTAGGATAACCTCCACCCAAGATCAGTAGGAAGTTATTCGTGTAATCAGATAGAACAGGTGCTGTATCAAGTAAGTGTTGAAGGGCATTACGATAGTCATGTTTGATGTGCAGGTCTTGTTCAAACTCATCTATCAGCCATGTGGTGTTAAACAGCTCTAAGGCAAGCCTGTCTTCCCCTGTGTATGTCCTATTTTATTTAAAATAATGATAAAGCATATAAGTTTGTATGTTTGTATGAATAGTTCATATTTATTGTTATATCAAATGTGTCTGAATAGAATTGCAATTTTGCAAATATTATTGACAATTTGAGTTGATAAAAACCTTAGATCTTCACAGCTTCCTTTTGCAATTGACACGTCTATCTCTATATATTCTCTTGGTGCTGCCTCAAGATAACTGACATTATAATCACTAAACTAAGCCAAATAATAAACTGCCCTCTTCAAAACGTGCGGCCAGTGGACGTAAATTGATTTTGGCGGGTCGCAAATACATTTGCAGCCCTGTTGCTCATTGGGTAAAAAGGGCTCGTACGACCGTTCTCGACCAATCAAATGTCAACGAGAAA